GGGCTCAAAATAAAGCTTTATTCAGGGAAGACGTCTTTAGTTTAAATGCTGTTTGAGTTGCGGGAGGCTAGCAGGAGATGTGACAAGGTACTGGAAAGCTTTGTGGTGTTTGTATTTTGCACCATCCATCTGTAGTGCTCAGGAAAAAAACCCAAAAAACCAAAAAACACAACAACCAACATGCCGCAGCTAAAACAAGAATGTGATTAGAATAGATCGACATGACTTTGGGCATGAAACTAATGTGTGTGGTACAAAAAACAACAACAACAACAACAACAACAAAGCGAGGGAGGATTCCTCCTCTGTCAGGCTGACTGTGAATCTTTTATTTCTGTATTCCGGGGGACGTTTTATTGAACTGTCACGACTCGTGTATTTCCTGGGCCTGAAGGGCTCATTTTGAATTAGCCTCGAATGTTCAATGGCAAACGCGCTGAAGCAAGCCCACTCAATATCACATGCGCCTCGTCTTTAATGGATAATGAAAAATGATAGATGACGTGCTGAGGCAAGGCGTCCCACTGCAACACCTGTTCTTTTCTATTGACGGCATAATACAGTACACCACAGCTGGAGCCCCTCCCACCTAAAAGAAAGTAATCCGTACAGGAAATGCTTTTAATTACACAGTTTTGTTTGTTTTACCTCTGGTATCCAAGTCTATTTATCTGGACCAGGTTGAATACAAGACAAGACGCGCAGTGTGAGACAGAAAACACAAGGATTACTCCAGTAAAACAGAGTGAAAAATATATTGGACATATACTGGTCTTTTAATAAGAACAGACAATAGCCAGTCACAGCCAGTGTGATAGAAGTCTGTGTCTGATTCGGCTTGATGGCTTCAGTGCCTCAGTCTGTAAAATCCGCAGTCAAACCTGCCTGACCTGACCTTGAGGAGCTGCTAAACCACCGAAAAGGCTTTCATTAGCCCGACGTCATGTGATGAAAAAAGAGAAAGGCTTTTCGACACACACTGGTTTTAGATTCTTCAAATATAAGAAATGAATGTGGTCGAATGTAAAGATTATGGGAGACAACTCGTATAGTGTGTCTGACACATCAAAGTTGATCGAACTGCGAGTCACGTCTGACCTCCTTCTCCCCGATGCCTGTTTCCCTCTGAGTGCAGTGTGTGCGCATGCAGCTGTTACTGTATTCAGTGTTTTTCAATAGCTGCACAACCTCTGAATAGGAAGGAGATAGAGTTGGAGAAATGAGATAAAGTATAAACTGGTTTAAAGAAAAATAGAGCTATCATTTGCCAGATTCTCTGGTTAAAAGAAAAAAAAATCCCTCTTTATCCAGGGAGGCGAGATAAAGTTAGAGTTCTGATAGATTGACGGGGTTTACAGTTTGGGACATCATGCCTCTGTCAGATTCATTTTGTTCCCAAAAAAAACATGGCTGGACCGTTAGCGTCAACCTCCTGATAATTAGTAGGCTAAGTGGGTGTAAGAGAGCAGAAACAATGCACAATCAACATCCTCTTTCATGTCAGTATCACCCACTGAGACGAAATACGGCCAGAGCCAGGCTGCACTCTTGGCGTAGATTCATGCACAGGCCGGACCAGGCTGCAGCCTACGGGGCCCCACATGTGCGAGGGCCCCGGATTGGCCAGAATATTTTTCATTTAAAGGGAGAAACATCTAAAAAATTAGGCACGGAGTCAATTTGGTCAAATAATACGTCACTGTTATTAAGTGTAAGGCACAAAAACTAAAAGCTCATTGGCTGGAAGAACAGCGTGACTGAGATCTACTAACCAAAATCCCTAAATTGACTGGATGTTTCAAAGATACAGAATCTCAATCATGACAGTTACATGATGAAGATCTACAGCAGGAAGACTAAGGGTTACCGTGGGATCCTTGCCTGTAGACGCAGCTAGCTCTAGTCATGGCAAAGACTGACCACGACCACGCCTCACAATCACCTGATTCAGAAAAAGCAGTCTGAGACAGAGGGACTGACACTTCAAACCACCCGTAACACCAGTATGTTGAGCGACCAACACCCTGGGAATTAGCCAATGATGTCGCAGCCTCACCTGTTGCTGCGGCGAGGGCACGAGACGCCGCAAATCCCTGCTACCTATAGCTTGGATCCTGCGTGCCGAGATCAAATTGATGAACATTTGGTCATACTGTGTTAAAATGAGACCTGAAACTTGTCAGAACAAAGACGCAAGATGTGGCAGCCTCAGGAAGACAACACAAACACCAGAAGTGGTACTTTTTTTTTCCCCACAACCCTGTTCAAGAGGAAACCGGCAAATGTGCCATGAGAATGGTTTTCCTTATTCCCCCTCAAAATGCACTGCGCTTTGTTTTGCATGTAAATTATTTGGGGACAGCGAGTGGAAAAATGCAGCCGCATGCTTGGCTGAACATGAAGGATCGGAGAGAGCCACGGAAAGGCTATGGTTGCTTATCTTACGCGCTGTGCTGATGCTGGTCGTATAGATACGGAACTTAAAAAAAAAAACAATTCGACAGTGAATGTGAAAACTGGACGAGGATTTAAAGAGGGTGAAAGTGGCGAAGCGCCTAGCACAGCGAGGATTTCCTTTCAGGGGACACAGTGAAATTTTTGGCCAACCTGATAATGGGAAATTTATGGGTGTGCTGGAAGTCATTAGCGAGTTTGATCCATCCTCGAAAGCACATATAGAAAAAATATGGCAACGCTGGCGAGGGAACACCATCACACCTCTCATCAACAACGTGTTTAGACTTTATTGAACTGATGGGAGACGGTTCCTCCCAGAGATAATCAGTTACATAAAAATGGCAAAGTACTTTTCGATCAGTGTCGGCTCCGCTCCAGATGCTGAACACGTTAATTTTGCTGGGTGTGTCACCTGATGGCTGCATCGCACAGGGTTTGTCAGTTCAGGGTCTGTTCTTGCCGTTTTACAACACATGGGAATTGATGTCCATAACTGCAGAGGATAGGGTTATTATAATGCCGCCAACATGCTGTTTTTAACCCTTTGGTCGAGTGGTGCACACACATTCAGCGAAGTGGTGGCTCGAGACGGAGGACATTTTTTGATTTCCAGCAGACATTTTTTAATTTTCCTTCCAAATCCATGTCTCATCGGCAGACAGTCACTGCAGGTTTACAGCCTAATGACAACCACAAGAAACAGAATTTCAGATATTAGATGGTCAGCACACGCGCAGGCAACAGAGGGAATCATGAGTCACTGCAAAAGTTAGGCGATGACTCGAACCAAAATCTACACACGCTCTACGCGAAGATGGAAAAACTAGACCAACGCCTTTCTGTGTAACATGTGGAACAACATACTGCAGTGTTTTCACAAGACTAGTACTGTGCTACAGGCAGCTGAATTGGACTTATATCGTGCTGTTGATTTTATCAGCTCATTGAGGGATTACATCAGCCATACATGTCTCCAACTGTGTCCCAACACTACAAAGTGGACACACAGAGGGACAGAAAAAAAGGAAAATCCAAGCAGATGAATCCACTGAACCTGACTGTGAATGAGGTAAGTCCAAGGCAACAGTTTTATATCTCCGTCATCAATCAACTTGTTGCGGAACTGGATGGGAGGTATCACTCCTACGAGGATATTCCGATATTTGGATTCTTGAACAATATTCCATCCACCTCTGTAGAAGATCTTCGTACAGGAGCGGCTAACAGGTGATGGATGTGGAGGAAGATTTTGTGGACGAAATTGGACAATAGAGAGAATTCATTAAAAATTCATTAGCAAAGGTCATTGCTGCAACTTCTAAGAGGAAGGAAACTACAATCTGTGTTTCCAAATGTTGATCTAGCACTCCGACTATTTATGCATCAGGGAGCGTTCGTTCTCAAAACTGGGACCAGTTAAAAATAGACTGAGATCCACAATGGGCCAAAACAGACTGAATCACCTGTCTCTGATGTCCATTAAAAGTGATAATTGGATTTTACCGGCCTCATTAAGGACTTCTCTATACAAGGAAGAAAATACCTATATAATTTATATGATTGTGCTGCTGTTGCATTATTGCTGTTATTATTTGCTGCTGCTGCGTTTGTCGTATATTTACGGCCTCTGTAAGGGTGTTGTGGTTTTGTCTCAGTGAAACAGGCTGTTCTGTACTGCTGCAGATGTTGTACCTGTTGGTTTAGAAAGCTAAAAGCTGTTTCCATCTTGCAGATGCACTGTGATTGCCTTTTTTTTCCCGGTAGCTGTCTCAATGTGTGTGTGTGTGTGTGTGTGTGTGTCTGGTGCGTCCCAAGTGTGCAAATGTGGGCTGTGTAATATTCTTGATAATGTCTAAGGTCACATCTCCCTTTCCACCATCATGTTTAATATGATCAACAGTGCAAAATGGCACTGCAGCACTTCACCGTACGGCCTATACAATCTGCCTATAGCGCAATATATTATGATTGTAATTGACTGGAGAAAATAATAACTGCGTAATCACAGCCTCTAATGTGCTCTGCAAGTTGTTGTGATCCCACTTTAATTTGCTTAATCAACTAACCAGACTGGATATTGTACACTTAGCTTAGATTCCCTGTGAGTCTGAGCTGTAATTGTTCTGGATCCTGGGACACTGGTGTTAAATGTGCCTGCAGCCACCGCACTGAAGTCAACAACAAGAAGTGGTGGGTTTTTGCACTACAGGTAAGCAGAACTCTGCGGACAAGATTCGCTTTGACAAACGGTAGATGTGCTGCTTTAAAAAGCATATCATGGAGCTTTTACTGCTCCTTTGCAGCGATATTGATTTATATACAGAGTTTTATGAACATCCATTGATTTTATCTGAGGCACAAGGCAAGAATCAAATCAAGAGTACATATGGAGCAGCCCAAAATGAAGTTTTTTATGCTTTCCTGATGTTGTGACTGTGGTGCCGAGCCACTCTCCAGTATTAGTGGAAGCGTAAAGGGATTACATTTTCTAAATTGACATCTTCTCCCAGATACAGAGATTGAGGAAATCAGGTTCACTGTACCTTAACAATGTCTTCATTTGAGGACTTGCACTGCACAGAGGCTGAGACGTCGGTGACGGCTCCATTCATCTCTATGGAGACCATTTTGACAGGAATGGCCACAGTGCGTCCGGTCAGAATGGCAGTGTTGATAATCTCAGTGTCCTATGGAGAGAACAAAATGGACATGATGTTCACAAAACAGTGAGAGGCAGGAAGTGATTTTCCTTGATGTTTTTTATCAGTGTTACTGATGTCCACATTTAAAACGATTACCACGAGGGCTCCTGGGTCTCCCAGGTGATGCTCAGCGGCAGACCAGAACTCATTTTACTGAGACGCCTTTCATTGCATTTCATCAGCTGACATTTTCATTTCAAGTACACTTTTCTGTTTTTTCTTTTCAGTACACTTAAACCGGAGGTAACTGAAATGCAGATGGATAAAAAAGAAAATTCAAAGAAAAGCAATAAGCTTAACCGTAATCATTCTGAGAAATGTGTTTTAATGTGGTCCTACCAGTCGAATCACAGCATCAAGCTTAGATTCCCGGCTACATAAAAGGCATTGGCATTTATTGTACCGCTGCACAGGATCTGATGCAACCATCCATTATACAGTTTTACTTTGAGCACATTAGCAGAAATCAGACTTGGATGTTAGAAAAGATGGATTTTTTTGCCACAGCAGGAAGCCCATGATGTTCCTCTGAAGTCCACAACAACTCTGGGAAAATGCAACAGTGACATGGTGCGACAGCGCAGTATCAGGAAATATGACCAAAAAAAGCAGGGGTTTTTTCCCCTCATGATTTATCTATTTACCAAATTGTGTTTCAACCATGTGCACCATCACTACTCATTTTCTGCTCATCACTCCATTGAGGAAACTTTATCCTTATTATCTAATGTGAATCATTTAGGCCATATGGTTAAAGTATAATTTTAATTGGCTCAAAAAGAGCATAGAGAATTTTCTCATTCCTAAATGTGTTTATAATCACCTGGCTGCTCTGACGTGGATGCATGATAATACATCTAATCTTATACATATCTAATCTAGTTTTAAATAATAATTTCATACTTTTTTATGATTTAATAATTTTTCTATATCATTAAAACTTCAGAAAATCAAAAGGGTTCAAACTGTGGTAAATACAACCACTCATAGGCACTGATAAAAATAATCCTTGAATGCTGATTAACTACACATAAACAAGGCAAACATTGTCATCCTATCTGTATTTTTATTACGAATGCACTGGAATGCAAACAGCCAATTAAATACACACCAGGCCTCCAGTTGAAGTTCAGATCAGTTCATTACTTTTTTTTTTTCTCTCTTTTTTTTTTTGCAGATCATGTAAGCTGCAAGGGGGGTAACAAGTTTTCTCATTTGTGGTGCACAAGTAGCCCAGGAGAGAGACCTAGACCATCTAAATTTCCTGGAATCAAAAAATAGTATATTTAAATTTCTGCCTTACACTCATCTTAAAGTCTTAATAAGGGTGCAGAGCATGAAGCGACTTTCTTCCCGCTCTAGTTTTTCATGGGTTTCTACACAGCTGCAAGACTTGGAATTTATTCATTCGTTTATTCATAGAGGGAATATTATACACAGACTCAGCACCGAGTGTTGTCAAGGCATCTTCTCTGTGTGGCCTTAAGTAAACGACAAAGGCAGGCAGTTCTGAAGTGTCCTTGCACGACATTGAACTTTGCCTCTAAGAGTGTCGTAACGCACAAAGGTGAAACGATATAGAGCGGATCAAAAGATACAGCCTGGAAACCTTTAACTTCCCATGCACTTTGAGGTAAAACACCTCTTTTGCATGGGAGACCTGGTCGATACCACAAATACAAAAACAAAGAGAATGAGCATAGAAAAAAAAACCTGCATGCCAAAAGAGACCTACATGTAACAATAATAACAAGAGGGTATTACTAGTAGAGTCATTTACTATGGATATGGTAATTGTTTTTCATTCTGCTGGAGTCACAAACTTTTTTAATTTCAGCTTATTCTATAGACTTTTCCAAGTGGCTGGAGCAGAAAACATTGAAGTCCTCTGTCCCATCTGAGTAACATGCGAAATGAGATGGTGGCTGAAACTAACTTGGTCTGATACTGACAAATCCATCAAGCCAAATACAAAGATAATTTATAACAGGAAACAACTTCAGTCTTGCATTAACTCTCCGACAATTGTTTTCATGCAAATTTACAATTTAGATGTTAAAAAAGTGTTTTACGTTTGACTGAGGTGGAAAAATACAGTGAATCAATAAAAGCAAAATGTGACAAAGGAAACTTAGCCAATCAATCATGACGTGCAAGAAGCATGTGACTTTAACGATAGCTGAAGCTGGATTTGTCGCTAGGTGACAGAGGCGCTACGTTGGCAACACTGCTTGCCATGCGGTAAGTATTCGGCTGACCAATGGTGTAACTTCATCAGTCAGTCAGTCAGCGACACATGCGCTTATATGGGCTCGTCCTGCCGTTGTGGTCCAGCCAAAAAGCATTGTGAAGTAATGCTTTGTCAGACATTCCTATGTTAATCAAACTCTGCCTAGGCTTTAAACAGATCAATAAATAAAGCTGCACAGCTCTGCTTCTAGTCTCAGGAATCAATACTATCATTTGCAAGCTTCACTGTGGCAGTAACTGTGCAAAATCCAAACTGAAACTTTAGCATTAGTACATTAAAAAAAATCTTTAAGCCAGTTATATGTATATTCCACGCTGACATGTAATAGAAAAGTGTAATTACTGCGAGAGGTGACATCTCTTGAACAGATAGAAGACATCTCATTAGTGACTAGGTTAATGTAAAATCTATGCAATGAAGCAGTGAAAATGAAGCCACTTTCAGAAAATAGAGATCTTAACTGTCTCCCGTCAACAACCACACACTCAGCTCCACTGTATAACATATCCTCACATTCAGAGAGCAACATGACACACAATGGATTTAAAAAACTATTCATTATAGCAGGATCTGACTCAAACTTTAAAGTTGCTCTTGATACTGTGGAAATAGAAAATAAGACTCTTAATTGCTTTTAAAGCTCTATCATAACTCCAAAGGGGCTTCTTTCAGGTCCATTCAGCATCACAAGGCCCCATTCTTTGTTTCCTGTGTAATTATCTGTTTTGTATGAATCCTTTGAAAATGGCCTGGAACATCAGTGAATCAGTCACTCAACGTCAGTCACATTACCTTGGTTTTATTTTTCGTTTTTTAAGATGTAATCTTACAGAACTCAAAAGATCAAACCAACAATAAATTTATATTTGCTCCACAAATTCTACTTTTTCAGCAGAACTGTTATTGTGATGTTGAAGCTACGGTGGTAGAGGAGTTTTCTTTGTAGGTTGTTTCATGATTTATTTGTTTTTGAGTTTACAAAACGTGGCCAATTTATGCGAGGCACAGCACAGCAGACCTCTGTGGATAACTGACGGGACTCTGGGGCAAAAATCTAATTGAAAGACATCATCCCTGAGCTCTCCTTGCTGTTTTGGCATCTGGTAAGTATTATACTACACAAGACACTTTACAATTAAATGTGCGCCGCTTTGGGAGCACTAATTATGCTTACCTGAATTCAGCTCGGAACAAAAATCAGTCATGACTGCACACAGCTATCATTTCGCTTAATTACTATATTCTGTATAAAGCAGCAAAACAGTTATTAGATACTCTGTTTAATGCTAATTCAAAAAATGTCTTAATTCCAGCAACATACTGGACTGAATTGGTTTATTTGAGTTACATTGACACTAGAGTGTTTAACCACTTGACAGCAATTTTAGTTAGGCCAATGCAAAATATGATCAGGTCTCTTAACACATCAAGTCATTTTTTCTTTTTAATATTATTATTATTTAAAAAAGAAAAAAAAGAAGTAATGTTTAAGATACACAAATGAATGAACAGTTGTGGCCACAGACTCTCTCCCTACACTCGTATTTGCGTCTAATAAATTTTCCAAAAAAGAGACAAAACACACGAACAAAATATGATAGATATTGCAATATATATCATTATCATGATTCCTTTTGACCACCATGCTTGTTCTGGTGTATCGTGACAAGCCAAATTCAAACCCAGATCTTGTTGAATATTTGATCACTTTTAAATCAGTTATGAATTGAGTCAATACGCAGAGAATTATATACTATAATTTCTCTTAATTACTGAATTGGCAATAGTAAAACATCAGATTATAATCTCAGTTTAAATGTCTCACTCAACTACATTTTTCTTACTAGACCAACAAAATTAGTCCCTTTTTGCTTAAAGTGTGTTTACAGATGACAGAGAGCAATTTGCTTGTGGTTATTGCCATCCCATTATAAGGAATCCATAACTGTGGAGCCTTGTTGGAATCGCCCACAGGGTCTGTGTTTCACAGGCGAGGTTACTTAGCAAGTGAGGCTTAACTGCTCAATTCAACTACAACCATTTTCACCTACTCCTGAATAATGTAAACAACGCATTTTCCCAGATGTGGATCTTTATGAATGAATAAAGATATACATGTGAAAATACGATGCGTGACTGCAGGCTGTGAGGTTTGTGCAACAGAAAACATAATTTTTTATTCAACATCTGGTAGCTACTGTGGCACGAAGCAGCTAATGGAGTTGGAAATCTGGCATCACACTTCCTGTTTTCTCTCCTCTTCAAGAGGCCTTCGGTAGCTTGGTGTTAATAGTGGCCTAAACTGTGTAAAAAGCCCTAAAGTTGATTTAACTTTACCATCCTGGAACTGTTACTCCCTTTCCTTCCTTCTCTCTTTCCTTATCATTCACATGTTTCTCAGTCTGAAGCTACAGTAGGGGTCCACCCTAGACCTTCATCTCTGCTGCTTTGTAACACAAAATGAATCATGTTTTGTGTTCTGGAGACAGAACCGCCTCCCACCTCTCTATATCAGCAGTTTCTGAAAGTGCTGAGCCTTTCTACAAGCTGTCAGTGGGTTTATGCCACCTGCTGAAAAGTACTGGTTGATTTGCATCTGCTGCTGAACTTAAAAATGACAGTTATTCTACAGTGAAAGAAGTCTAAGGAGGTGCAACTTCAGAGCCAGTCTTTTGCTGCACTGTCTCTTTTCTTGAGTACCGCATCCTCTGACCTGATTCATTTCTTGTTTATAATGCTTTCGTCCCTTTATGTGAGAGGCACACACGTGCTCGTAAGAAGCCCTTGAGACACACTGGTTGGTTTTGGTGAATCCACGGTGGCCGTGTTCTCTGTGCTAATTACAGTACATCCTGATGCTGAACATGAAAACATTAGCGCTGCATTGTGTTCCTGTGAAGAACCACTGAGGTTTCATCTGCTGCAAGGTCACATCCAGACTGGAAACTCTGGAAGCTTTTATAGCCACCGCAGCAATTATTACTGTTTTCACATTTAACAATCAATCACAATCAATAGGTTATTCACGCCGCACTATAACAGCCTCAAGGGTTGTTCAAAGCACAATATGCACAACAGCAGCACTGTTAAGATTTGTTTTTTTTCTTCCAGATAGTCGCTGTGTCCTAATTCACGGGCTGCATTCCTTTGGAGGCTGCGTGTAACAGAGTTACGCGTTCTCATGGTTGCTAGGCAATAGGAGCAGCGCTTTGTGATGCAACAGTAAGGGCCGGCGCAGGTGCTCAAGCAAAGTGGAAATGCTCCGTTGGCCCATTTCGGTTCGGCCTTCACGGTCTGCGACGGCCACGAAGGGCCACACCTTCGTCAACCGCGTCCTCCGGAGGATTCGGCCACTGAATTGGGACACAGCTATTGGTAGACCACTGTTTAAAAACTCTTTAAAAAAGTGGCCATTTTGACAATGAGTCATCGACATTGATGTGATGTTATGTCAAAATGAACTGATAGTTAAGGGGCAAACAAACACCGACATGAATATTAATCAATTACACATTCAGAAGAAGGTATTCATTCATACTATGTCCAACCTGATCTTTACTTACACTTTGATACACATGATCAGACTTTCTCATTGAGCTTTGCCACTTCAAACTGCCCCATTACACACCTCAACAACCTGCCACGATGATAAAGTTGGTCTGTTGTGTTGGCTTTGATGAGGCCACCTGTTTTCAGTTCATCAATCATGTTTCATGGGTTTTAACACTGTTTAACTGTGGCTCTTCTCCCAGTTGGGGGGGGGGGGGCTGGAACGTCCACTGTTTTTGCTTTGATATAATTCACAATCCAATTAGTCAGGACATAAGAAAAGATGGATTAAAGCTCATCTTTCAAGGAGACCACAGTGCCCACCTGCCGGACTACCTCATATTTGGGAATCAATAAATGTCGTATGATGATGAAAGGTTTTTAGTCTTTGCCTGACTCAAGAACTCGCCTCCTTTTCACAGGATGCCAGCGCCGTTCTCACTGTGCTGAGAGTAATGAGCACACTAAGTTGATCTGGGATGTTCTTAAGTTTGGTTTGGAAGCGAATTGTGATTATTTATATCGCTGAACAATGTCAGTGATGCTTGATAGACTAATTGGAAGCACTCAGAGAATTCCCAGGGTATTAAAACTTCCTGAATTGTTCAAGCCTGACCGGGCTTAGTCTGCAGTGTGTCACAGATATTTTTTCCTTCGTTCCATTTTAAAACAAATGTAGCCAAGTCCTCTTTTTGCAGTGACAAGGAAGGCTGCTGATGCCCTTGAAATTCCCCATGAACCAAAAACACTGAAGATGATGACAACACCAGTCCTCTTTTTATTGTTCCTACCCATATTAACCCGATTCCTCTGCTTAGACGCTGCAGCTAAAAAGCATGAAAATCACACATCAACATCGAGGTGCAGAGGTGGCAGGCAGCTGAGGAAAAAAAGGAAAAGCACTAATAGTTCCTGCCATCTTGCTTCAGAATGTAAATTTTACAAGGGAAACGCACACAGGCAGAAATCTAATTTTGCAATGCATCTAAACACATCTGGGTACAAGATGCATGCTAATCCCAAATGTCAAGGGGACCAGAGATATGAAGTGAACCTTATGTTACAACAGATGTGCCGTACACAGTCATAACTGCAGCTCAAGTATTTAATGGAGCTTTAGGTGCAGAACAGTTGTAATAATGCAAATACATAACAGATAACCAAGGCTTATCATTTTGATAAATATCAAGCCTTTTTCTTAGAGATAGATGCAGATTTTTTTAAATTGTTCATAATATTTATGTAAACCGTTCTTCTACACACTACCTGCATCCTACCTACATGATTTTCCATGCACAGTAAATTTTAATGAGCAGATATAGGATGTCATGTTGGGACCTTTTTTTCCACTGGGTTTCAAGTGGAGTAAAGCAAGACCACGAGAGAGGAAGTAAGAAGGCGAGCCATAGCCGGGGGCACTCGGCACCTCTTGCTTGATTAATTTCCCTTTGTTCCCATAATCTGTTTACTACCCTCACTAATTGCCACCTTTCACGAGGCAAAGAGAACAGCCCCGATTAAATGAGTAATGGACACTTAAGTGTTCTGGGATTGGTTGACTTTCTTAACAATCAGCAAATCACTGCAGAGAGACTAAGTGTTGATTGGATTTATTGATAATGACAATACATCTGTCCGTGTTAGGTCTGATGCTCTGTGCACATGGTATATAAAGTGCAGGCTGTCAGAATGAAAGAGCTACAGTTTTAGTGTAGATACAAAAGTGGCCCCTTACCTCTGGGTTGACTCATGTAAACATCATTAATGGGACTGAATAACCAGGGAAACATTTTATCAGTAACATAGAAACAACAGAAATGGATTCACAGGATCAGGACACAGCACGATCCACACATGCCTGATCCAAGGACCATTAACGGATATGAGGAGAGGACATCAGCTACAGAGACCAAAAGACTGTAAAGACATTTACTTCTGCTGTAAAGTTGGGCATTTCAACATGGGAGTCTATGGGGATTGACTCACTTTTGGTGCCAGCCTCAAGTGGCCATTCGAGAAACTGCAGTTTTTGTTACTTCAGTGTTGGCTTCATTTTTGAACAGAATATGTCAATATGCTTTCTGACAGGTGTTGACTGATAATCTAGTTTACAATTTGAAAAATTAGAAAATTACCTTTAAAAGAAGACATGATGTTTTAACATGATTGAGTTGGTCACATAAGTTTAGTTAAGTTTTAGTTTAACAACAATCATATCCATATTAATCTGGCTCTCCTTCCACTCACCATGGCCAGAGGGATGATGGCCTGGATGTCCCGCTGCACCACCGTCAGCTCCGTCACAACCTTCTCTGAATCAGGAGGCGGGTTCTGGCCCTTGTAGTCGATGTTCCAGTTGATCCTCCTGGTCACCGAGAGGCTGGTGAAGTTCTCCATCTCGAAATCCAGCTGCATCACCTCCACGTTGCCCAACACGTCCCTGTCAGACACACAATTACAAGGCAAGACATCAGTTACAGCAACATGTTCACGGGAAACATTGCAGAGTATAACAAGAACATCTGGCAATGCATTCATTTCTAGTAATGAAATAGTTGACTGGATATTTCTAAATGATTAAACATGCCATTTGCTTGCTGTACAGTTATTTTTTTAAAGTTTTCCTTAAGTTACCCTTCAGCTGAAAAAAGCTACTCGACATATGGTGTATTTTTTAGTATTTGTTCAAAGTGAAATTCTCTATCTACATATCCTTTTTTGTAGGAAATTGAAAAGTTGTAGGATTGATTACAGTATGGTTGTATCTGGTTGTATCAATAAACCCATATTCAAAAAGCTGCCAGGCAAGATTTCAGGATACAAGCCAAAATCTATCTCGTAGCATCCGGTGGAGTATAATCAATGTTATGCATTCAGCACAGCTCACATAAGTTATCAGACACATTCACTGATGAAAAGGCCCCATCATAACATTTCATTCAGTCAGCCGCAGTCTGAGCAGCTCCTTCAGTCTGATTGGTGGATCTCAGGCTTCCTGACAGATACAAGGCAGTTAACAGCGCCGTAGGATCTTAAAGGTCACAGTAAACTGTTTACAACGTCACGCTTCACGAGTGGAGTTCTGACTTCACTTTTGAAATTTTATCACTCTTTACTCACATAAATTTGATTGCTAGATGTGAAAAATAAGCAGCAAAGGCAACCGCAGTGATACTCAGGTTCAACACAGCAGCTGCGAGGAGACAATCCACCACATTAGTGGTTTTGGTTAATATAATTTTATTGACCAGCCATTATGATAAGTGTTTTTTGGTCCACACTTGTCTTGATTAAATGAAGTCAAGGTGAAGAAGCTGAAACTCTGCTAAAGCACATTACAACACGATTCATTTTCCCGTGCTGCAATTTAATCCTTTAGTGACATAATCCTTTTAGAAACCTTCTTTTTTTGTCTGGTCACAAACCCTGAATACAAAATGTTCCTTCTGTGAAGCTCAAAGGACTTTTAGGAGCCTGGCCTGACCCTACTTGAATCTCACTAATGATGCATCAATGCACCAAGTTAATGTCTCGTCACCTCACTTACACCCGTCTCACTCTGCACGTCTCCTTCCGCTGTGGCCTGTCTGGACTCAACTCTGCTTTTTACAGCCCCTTTTTTAAGCCCCCTATTAATTTTGGATTTTAATTTGAAGTTTCTGTAAATAATTTCCTGTCAATGTACAGTATTTAAAGCCAATAGAAACAACATTTTTAAACGAACAATGGTTCAAATGAGAATTAACAGTTAGTAGTTCCGCTCATCTCTTCGGAGTGTTTTGGCCTCTTCTAGCTCGTTGTTTTGGTTTCAGGATCCATAGCTTTACTGTTTTGGTTCAGTCCCGCTATTCTCATTAGCATCTTTTTGAGAGGCAGCAGCTGTTTTAGAGAAAAAGCTCCATGACTACTGCAGACCCACTGCTCAGCACCAAACAGCAGACAGACACAATAAGCGACAGGCTGGTGGACATAGTGGAGCATAAAGGAGATAATGAGACAGACATTTCCCTCAGGAGCTGGTGGAGACCAAAGCAGAGCCAAAAGGAGCGTCTGGATTGGATTGATATTCTTATTTGTGTTTCATTTACACAGCAATGATGGATTGGATTGATGAATATCAATCCAATCCATCATTGCTGTGTAAATAAGACACTACTTATTTACTAACAAGTTAACATTATCAATTTAAAAGGTGATAATATGTCAGTGTTGTGTTTAAAGCTTGTTTCCACTGTCTTTGAGTGACTATAAAAATGAGCTACTACAGGTAAAAGTTGTTTTCCTACAATATTCACTCCTGGCAATTGAAGCATGATTGAATTTTATGGTTAAATTCAGGCAACACGAAGCACTTGGTTAACGTTATGGAAAGATGCTGTGAGCTCAGTTAAATATTGAAAAAGTCTCACATTTATAGCACTAGAAGGAACACCTTGACTTTTACACTATTTTATCAAAATCTCCGCCTGTCCCTGAACTTACCCAAGTGTTTCATAGTTCTGTGCTTTCTGTGTGTCCGACCAACCGCCCCAACCTCCTCCTGGTCTGTGCAGTACAACAATATCACACTTCCTGCTATGGAAATTCTTTCTTCAGTGAATGCAATCCAGGCAGCAAACACATTTCCCACAATAGGTAAAAGCTAATTAGTTGTAGACTAATGCATTTTGTAGGAGACCAGATGGGATTGTCTTGTTGATGCACCAGATAAAACTTCCCTTCTCTAATAATTTATTAGTACATTACTGAAAAAATCGGATCTGACATTAGACTTGTTTCTTATATATGTTTCCACTTATGCACGGGGCTGTTGTTAAGAGAGACGCTAAAACTGATGAGAAGTGTAAGTTTTCTAAGGGCATTCCTGCTTTCTTTGATGGAGTTATCATATGCCATAAATTAATCAGTGATTGCCTCTGAATGGTCTTGTCAATAAACAATCACTGCTCCTTAATCTTGCTTTCTTCTTCTCTCTTAAGGCCTGAATGCAGAGCTTGTGCAAGGAGATTGCAAATTTTATTTAGCCTCTCACTTTCAAATGACCGTAATTGCACTGGCTGCAGATTTGCCTCCGACCAATCAATGATTTTGGTAGATAACCTGATTGTTCTGATCGCCGTGCAATGCTTTGATACTTGAGCATTCTCTCTTTGGCCTCTCTCTTCAGTGTGAAGAAGACTTTGCCTGGGATCTCCATTTTACTCTCACAAACAGAGATGCCAGAGATGCAGAAGCGATAACAGCTCTTCCTGTTATGAAAATCCCGCTCGTTGGGCTTGTAATCCTCAGGTTCAACAAGCCTAACATGAAAACGTCTCACCGGTGGCGAAGGAGCAAATTAAATCTCTCTCCACGCGTGACGAGAATCATCCCCGCCAAACTTCACCTTTAGTTGAAAGTGAGGCAGCTCGCTTGTCTGTCCTTCACAAAAGCAGGGACCCATCCCACCATTCAGTCTGACAGCCCTTTAATGAAAGCTGGATCAAACTATCTGTACAATCCTCTGCCCACAAAAGGTTCCTCTCAGGAACATCGTGATGAAATCTCAGCCTATTTGTCTCGACATCACTCACAGAAAACAAACACCCCCGTCTGTCTGTGACACACTAAAGCTGTCATCAATACGGCCCACTGGAGTGAGCACATGTACAGCCGCTCAATACAGCGTCAACTGCTATCATGCTGGAGGGAAAGGAAAAATGATCTTCACAATGCACTGATTTGGGTTAGAGGCCACGCTTTTTTTCTTTTCTTTTTTTTTTGTGAAGAGTAAATTCTGAATCTGTAAGTGAAAGCAGCAGAAAAATTCCTCCTTCACATTTCATGTAACGAGCTACAGTTACACTTTGACACATTTTGACACCATTTCTGAAATCTGAATCAAAAGGAGGGATTTTTAGGAAATATCACGTCACTGGCTGTCGGCAGATGCCCTTATCAGAACGCTCACTGATTCTCTGCTTTAGGTTTTTATCTCTTTACGTCGCCTGTATGTACATTGTGGCTGCACATAATCACAATGCAACCTTCACATTTCCTTTTAGATCCGTGCCACTTTACGCATTGTGAAGTGCAAGTAACAAGTAAAATCAAATCCATGACAGTTTTAATTTAAACTGGTCAGGGCTTTCCTCTCCACCGCTCTAGTAGCTGCTGTGTTACAGTATTACTTCTCCTTAGGACATCTCTGTGGGATTAGAGGGTGACCTTTTCATCAAAATACTAAATTATGTATGTGCTTAGCTAATTAATGTGACTTCAGTCCAGTTCCTAAAGTTTCAATGAAAAGAAAACAAAAAACACTGGTCCACAATCACTATTCAAGGAAATGTTTTGGTGAGCTTTCCTATACTGTGATATCCATGTAATTATTACCTTCAGCTTTGATAGAAACAAACAGCGCAGATGTTCGACAAACAAAATTTAACATAATGGTATTTCTAAAAAAAAAAGTAGTGGGCGGTGAAAACTTAGATGAGTGATTTCATATACGAGAGGAGCAAAGGAACAAAGTAAACATGGCTCAAGAAAAGTCCATCCTTGTTTCCATTAAGTTAATGATGTACTATCTGTATAGTACAAAGTTTATGTTTTAAAAACTGTAGCTTGGGGCTTTTTCAGAGCTCAGGGGGATTCCGTTCTTTGATCAGAGGTCTGTTTGAACTGATTAACAGCGAGAGTTCATTGGATCAAAGTAGTGCAAGGCAGAGCTACGACAGCAGAAGAACAGAGACGGTGAACAAAGGTTTCAGAGCAGGCCATGCTTAAGTTTTATCTCTGTTAAATCTACAGCACTCAAGTCCTTTTTTTTAAAAAGCATTCAAAGAAAAGGATTTGGACATTTAAAAATAACTTCAATCTAATACTTCAGTATTTCAGGGTATATACTATTTGCTGTCTTGCTGAAGTAAGATCAAAATCAACTAACTCTGTTAGCTAGCTTAGCCTAGCATAAAGACTGGAGGCGGGGGAAACAGCTAGCTTAACTTCTAAAGCTCAATAATAATGAGCAGGTTATACTGTTTGTTGAATTGTAACAGCTACAGTTTGTGCTTCTAGGGGGAATAAAATGCTGAAACTTCTTTTTTTGTGAACAACATATGCATAGCTTCTTGACGATACAGTGACGTTGCCATGTTTGTTCTATTGTTGTACTATTGTGCCTGTACAAAGAGCTGTACCAAGAACCTATACTCACCAACTGAATCTGGCCATTCATGCCAACACTGTAAGGATAAACTGTTGTTTGTCAGGAAATAAGCTAGTTCTAGTAAAGGCTAGTTGAAGTGTGTAAAAGCACAGATGCATTGTGCATTGAGTAACACAGCTTTAGGGGGCTGCTCGTGTACTTAATGCACAGATATTAGGTGGATGTGAACAAACACATTTTCCCAAATGTTGAACTATTCCTTTAAAAAGCTAAAGTAACTAAACTGACCGAAAACAAATGTCGATCAAAAAGGTATTGGGGAGTAACGGACCACATGTAATAGGACTAACCTACGTTTTCACAATACAAAATATGAGTAATGTTATTTAGTTACAGTTACAACTTAAATAGGTGGTAATCATCATACAGTTATATTCTTAAATTCATAAAGGGATTACTTTTTTAGTTGTAGTGGGACTTTTAAAAAACTGGTTGAGAATAATTTGGTTCGCTTTGTGCAGCGTTGCAGATTTACTTTTTTTTTCCCCCCAGAGTTTTCATGCTGTAAGAAAACAGAGACGGTAAAAACTTGCCTTTTCTGGTGCTATCTTTATTCTAAGTGGATTAGACAAATAGAAAAACAAAATGTTCTATGGAACTGTAAACATACATTATTTCCATCTTGTTTACATGTTTTCACTCCAACATAAAGCTGCGGAAAATGAAAAGGTAAAGTAAAAACTAGGTCTTCATCCCTTTTGCCAGACAAAACATCAGCAGAGTGGCTCGTGCTTTCAGTCTACTTTAGGCAGCAGTGTTGTGTGAATGCCAGATTCAGTCAGTGCTACATGCAATCGTAAAGCAAGACAATGTTGACGTGAATATTTAAAATGTTAGACACTTTAAGTAATCTACTGGAATATTTTACACATTACATTTGAGGCCATGTTTCTAAGCTTTGCATTTTTTTGGCCTACCTGACCTAAAAATATAATACACATTTTATACATGAAAGATATTCCTTTGTATGTGGAAATAATTGATGTAAACAGACCCAGTAGAACATCTTTTGTGCTACAGAACATTTTCTTTTTCATGACGGAGCAGCTTTGAAAACAGAGAGAGTATTTGTCAGCCTGTGTTTGTCCTGGTTAGGAGTCAATATTGGCACTTAAAAATGTGCTCAGAGTCTTTTTCTTGTTTCATCCCTTGTTTAACGCTGAATAATTCAAAGCACAAAAAAAAACCTAACCCCCCCCCCCAAAAAAAACAAAAAAAACAAAACAAAACAAAAAAAACAAAAACCACCAGGCGTCTTATTAAATGATTGACTCTTTCTGTTGTTCTGACTGCAGCAGTGGTAATGCCAAAGCATTTTCAAGAACATTATTCATTCGAAACCCATTGACCGCAATCAATAATGCATTGGTTCATGTGGTGTTATCAGCAAGCTGCTGTTATAATGGGACTGTTCCAAATGGAGGTTTACAGGAATAAAAAAAAAAGAAAGATGAATAATTTCTGCACTGAGTGAAGTGTGATCTGATGAAGAGAAAAACCAAGATAAGTAAAGAATAATAAAGAGAGGAGACTGATGAAGAGATTAACAATACACCCCGGCGGGGAAACGTTGTCACCTCATTTCCTCAGTCTCAGGTAATTTTGAGTAAACAAAACCAGATGTTCAACCAGAATTGGTGCTCAGATGTGTTCACCAGCACGATGCAAAAATGATGCTGGAGTGTGTATGTTTGTGGTTTTAATGGGAGAGGGGAATGTGTGTGTGTGAGGAAGAGGGGGAGGCTTTAGTTCCTTGTTTGCTGCTTAAATCTAACACAAAAAGAAATATGAATGGGAACAATTATTGAACTCAGACAACATATTAGAATTTACCTTATTACTGCATTTAATTGGGTAATTAGGGACAGAATTGTCTTGAGAATTCTTGCATTTTTGGGCTCATTACTGTAAAGTATCTGAGTCTGAGGCTGCTGCACATAGTTTCGCTCTCAAAGATGTGAGAGGGAAGTTTTCAGTCATCGTGCAGCAAAAGCTCATCCACTCAAACATCAAACGAGAGAGAAAACAGGGTTGGATACACTTTCTTGATAAAACAAATAAGAATATAATGAAAACGAAAGCTACAGGGATTGTAAGTGCTGAAAATGCGATAACAGAAACCCACTAGAATCACTGTATAGCATTACGTAACATGAGTTTCAGGTCAGCTTCTTTTAGAGGAATGGAAAAGAGTTTCAATGCTGTCACATTTGTGCAACTAAATTGGTAGGAAATACTGTACATTTATTTTGGGGTATTAAAGTCTGAAGTAGAAATTTAAAGCATAAGAAAAGCATAACATTGCATTTGCATGACAATCTGTCAGACAGTTTCAACACCTTTGACTCGTTCAGGCTCACCGCCAACAGATGAGAGAATTTAACCACTGCTCACAGGCAACACGGCAAAATGACGTGATTTGATTGCTCCAAAAATTACTCATATGAGAGTTTTCTACACCGACACTTTGTTTGGTTAAAATCTATTTAAAGCCCCTTTTGTGTAGGATTTGTAAATTTCTGACTTTGGTGCCTCACAGTGGTGGTATCAGAAAAAGAAAAAGAAAAACACTGCGGCAGACAACAATACTTAAATGGATGAAAAGAAACAGCAGTTTTCACTCAGACTTACTAATTTCTCCACAAACATAATCTAAAAGATGCTCCCATTTAAAAAACAAAAAAATATATATACAAAGAGCAGCTTTAAATTCAGGCAACTAATATTACTGTAGATTAGGAAGGGATTTTTCAGGTAAAATCACTTTCCCACAACAACAAATAGCTGACAATGTTTTTGCCAGTGACACAAAATAGAATACATCACGAATCAGAAATTACAGTGGAGATGTTTTGTTGGAATGTATTACTTAAATCTTCTTGAAACTGTGCACCATTTCGATATAAATAAAGACTTCAAGCAGACTTCCCAACAGCAACCCAGAATACAAGTAGTGTGAACCAATTTCACAACAATATATTTCCAGAGGAAAATCCTAAGAGGCAAGAGTGCTTTTTTTTTATATAAAAAGATTTCATGCTCATGTTCAATCAATTTGATGGGAATGAAGCATCAAAACAGGAATTCTTCCGTGACTCCACTCTTCATAACTTTATATGCCTATTGTTTGGCTGTTTGGCTTTAGGTGGTCACAGAATTGACTGGGTTTTTGACAAAATGTGGCATGACACGTTGTTTCTCTACCCATGCTTGACCCCCTACTGGACATTTCCCACATGGTGACAGGGTGGCAAAGATTACATGACATGGGTCACTAAATATAGCAAGAAAGGCTGCCACTAAGGCGCTAAGAAGTAAACAAGGGAGGAGTGGTGGACTTCTTTTCCAGGTAAGGCCAGTCTGTTTTCTTCTTCCTCGTCGTTGTCTTTCTCCTCAGCCATGAACGTGTCCATAGGGATGCCAATATTTAGACCAGCAGTTGTTAACGCCTCCAAGCCTGGGAGGCTTGGTGATACCCGGCCTAACTCCCAGTGCTTCAGCTCTTAATGAACTGAACGCATCACGTATCCTGATTTATGGTGGCTAATTTTGAGTTGCTCCCCGTCACTGGAAATAGCTCAGAGGCAGGGCAAACTGCGCTCATGTAAAAACCTGTGAACAAAATGTAATTGATGTTCACGGCGTCGATGTGCGAGAAGCTGTTTAAAGGGTCAGTTCACCGCCCCTCCTTCGTATCTGGAGGCAGAAATCTCAAAATAAAACCACATTCAGTGCTAATTTCCACTGTTTTGTAATTTGTGTTGGGTTAATCAACCCCCTGAGTGGAAGAAGAACAAGGGAGCAGAGGAAGTGCCTCTACATGTTTACCTCTGTGCTTTAATTTACTGGTCAAATCATTTAGGTTGTGTTCCTAAAAGCAGACTTACAAATGCATTAATAGGCTGTACACCATTTAAATTGCATTAACTTTGAAAATCACTCAGCAACTCCAGTTTTACTATTACCATAAAGTTGTATTTACTGAGTCCATTAGTGTCCCGTCGGACACTGCAGGACGGTGACTGGGTGTCTCTACACTTTTGAGGAGCTTGGCATAATTACTGCTCTCAGACAAGGTCTCATCTCAAAGGTATGTTAATGGCAGCGGTCAGAATCGTCTACCTCATCTCTCTGTGCAGATGGAATTAACAGCAGATGTAGCGAGACTAAGCAGATAACAGCTCCATTCATTTAACTAGGTGCTGTAAAGCAGAGGGTGTTTGAGTCACTGCTGTGGGCCAAGGCTGTATTTCATCTTCCCTTGCTCCTGGGGCATTTACAGAGGAGGGTGTATGCTTTTAAAAGCTGCCTTTAATCAGAGACTGAATTGTGTCTGTAACACACAGGGAAACCTTTTTGGAGACCTTTTGTCCACTGTTGAGGAAAACAAATATCGTCCGGTCAGACGGACACAGTGTGTTTAGAGTTGGGGCTGTTGACTTACCCCTGTTTGACTGCTTTGTTCTTGTTCACATCGATGGTGGTAATAGAGTGCTTGGCGCCGGACTGCACCTCCCAGTCCACTTTCCACTGGGCATTCTTCGACTTGGTCTGGAGCAGGTTCACCCCTTTCTTTGCTTTGACCCTGCAGGACATGGCGAGGGGGGGAAAAAGAATGGGAAGAGTCAATTTTATTAGAGGCTGTGATTTATGTGCAAGGTCAGAGGTGAACGCCCTCTGTGTGCAGCAGACCTCCTTCTTGTATTGCGTCATGGCAAAAGCAATTCCACAGATGAATCAATAACAGAGATGAATGAAGATGACAGTGCAGTGATACATGAGACCAGAAGGCGAGGACTACCTCAGGTCACAGTGTGCACCCGCTGGGCATTTATACAGTATTATTAACCGCTGACATCTGAAAGCCTCCAAGTTCAGCTCACATGCGGAGTGAAGACATCTCCGCTCACAACCGATGACGCATTAACAACATTAAATAATGTTGGATTTCCTTCAGACACTTTATTGTGATACTGATGTGAAATCCTCATTTTAAACCTGGAAACTCATATACCTGCTGTTTCTTCATATTTCAGGTGTTCATTAAATTGAAATGCACTGAGTGGAATATTATGAACAAAAAAATTATGGCCATAAAATTATTTGCGTTTCACTGTTTTTAATATTTCATAGATATAACAAATAATCAATTAACTGACAAAATAACCACCTGATTAACAGATAAGAAAATAATCATTAGATGTAGCCCTACTTAGATTATCCCTTCCCACTCATCCCCTATCTACACATTCCCATCTTGGACAACCTCCACCCAAAGGGGAAGAAATCATACATCATACATACATACATGCATGGATGCACCAACTGGAATCTATATATTTAAACACACACACATACATTCATGCATTTACAGTGTCCATAGAGATTTTACATTCATGCATGCACCTACACAAGTGCATGCGTGTGTGCAAACAGTACACACACACAAAACAAACCTATGTAGATCCATATGTCTGCAGTATCTGCAAATATATTACACCACCCACTAAAAGGAAATGCATCCCAACACTGTACTGTCTATGCATGCGTCTGAAAGCCTTGAAACAACAGGAGATGAAGTAAATACATATAATTAGCTACAAAAGAAGTAGAAAAAGAATAAAAAAAAGAGTAGTTATACATGAGTAGTGTACCGAGAATTATTGAATATGCGTATAGATTGGCTCCACTATGTAGCAAGAACCTTTCCCACCTCTTCAGGAATGGTCTGGCTGTGATTTATATCTTTTCCAATCTAAATTTTATCATTATAAGCCATTTACTGTAGCTACAGCACCCAGACAGAAGTGGACTTAGACTTGAACGTGAAACATAACGAGTTAAACTGCAGTTGCTCCCAGACAATCAATAATGAAAAGATGCTAAAGGTGACAGTAAAGGTTAGCAGGGAGGATTTTCTGGTGAGAAATGGACATTTCTGATAAAACTGAAGTAGAAAACGTCTGGGTCTGCACAATCTGCTTTGCTTATAATGTGATGACACTACCGGTGCAGCCGAGAGGCTTTTCAAATCAGTGACGAATGATTTGAAATTTCAATCAGCTGGGTAACAAACCGGCTGTGGCAGCTGTCCTCTGTGACTTTACCTAGACGTGCTATTAAAGAGTCCACTGGCAAGAATACAAAATCTCACGAGGCACTCTCTCTTATCACCGCTATTGTGACTCTGGTTATTTGACCACAGAGCCACGCCCGACTCCTGCACTGATGCATGATGGAGACAAATGGCTCATCCATAGACACGCGGAGCCAATGGAGATTATTGATCTGATGGTCTCATTTTCACGAAATACAAGACGGAGATGAATTATTAACATATCTGGCTTTTGTTTGTCTGCCTTGTGCCTTCGAGACAGAAGCACAGTGGGAGCAAAGTTTGCGTTACCTCAAAATTGTTTTCACAGACACTAAGAAAATATTTAGAATGATGTATAAAGCTCTAAATGTTAATGATCCGGAGAGCATCAGACGCTGGTTGTCCTATTGGTTATGAAAATGTTAGAACCAAATGCTGCTCTCCTGCAGGCAAAACTCAGGGGACTTAAATGATTTTGCCTTGTTTACAGGAAGACACTGTTGTTTTTCTCTTCCCGCCATGAGATCACTGCATTTCCACTCTGACTAACAACAGTTCTTTCCTGACAAATTAATTGAAAGCATTACCGAATTCATATTTTTCCTTTCAAGTGTCTTATTTACATTCGCCCGAGGCCCCTGCAGCATCTTCCAGATCGTTCCACTTATTTCTGTGACAGATAAAAGTTCTGAAGTCCCGCTGAGGTGTTTCCATTTGCCACACTAACCTGCGCTCAGTGCATTGACCACTCATCCATGATTTGTGAAAGCAATTGACTCACTGGCCCCCCCCCCCCCCCCCCCCCCCCCCCCCCCCTTTCAGCCAGAATAGGCTCACTGCTCAAACAGGATCTGTATTTTATTTTTATCACCTCCATTCTTGGTTTGCTGCTGATACTAAAGGAAACTACTTAAGCTTATCATGACCATTAACTTATCATTAACCACAAAGTCGTTCACAACTTCAGATAAGGTTATTTTTGCTTCTCTCTTTCATTACCCGGTCACGTGACTGCAGATTCAGCAGGTCCTTGAAACTGGAACAGGTTGTTGTCATGTCCTTCCAAATAAATGGTCATTAACTTTTTTTAATCTGACGTGACTGTTATTCATTTGACCATTTTCTGACCTGCCACCTCTGGGGTTACGTTTGTAGACAGTGGTCACAGCTAAAAGGAACCAGCTGTGGCTGCAGCCATCAGGGCGTGAGCAGCGGCTGTTTGAACAAATGACCAGTGCTGTCACTTTTCCTTGTGAGGACCATCCCGGTTTGTTTGCATTGCTGACATCTTTGATCACCCCAGCAGTGAGATAGACACAACATTAATGAGATGTTACTGTATCTGGACGAAGGCAGAGGTTACGGCAGATTATAGTTTGACATTTTCATATACTGTAAATACAGTACTACTTTACAAGCAGGGCTGAGGACACTGGGATCATGTCCTCACTATTGTTTATGGGCACTGAGGGATTTTAACAACTCGAGGAGGAGTTTACATTTCAGACGGATTAGACACTGTGACTTTGAAGATATTTTTTAGAGTCAATGTTCTTGGATTTGACTGTGAACAAAAAATAAATAAATAAAGGGATTAAAGCCATAAAGTCTCTGAAACAGGTTTTTAAAATAAAATATATTTTGGAGGGTTATAGAATCTACAGCAAATAGTTCCAGCACGGAAGTTCATTCTTAACCTTGGGATCAGTGAGTGTGTATGAGTGTGTGTGTATGTGTGTGTGTGTGTGTGTGTATAAAAAAATAATTTCAACTCAAGGTCTACTTGTTGAGTTTTCTTTTCAGAACTGCCATCATGTGACCTCCTGTATAAACCACTACATGGCCCACGATTAATTGCTACCCGCACGATGTTTTAGGTCATGTGATGACACTTGAGCAGCGTCCAATCACCGATGAAGACTTTGAGATGAGGTTGAAAGCTCTGAAAAAGCTTGGACGTGCAGCTCGAGATTATTTTTTTCAGTTTGCAGAAAAAGTATTTTTACAGTTAAATAAATATAGAAAATGTAAAAAAGACAATTTTACTCACTTCTACTGTTGACGGTGGATATAATATTGTAAAGTCTTGACCTATCTCTGTAAAGTGCCTTGAGATAATGTATGTTATTATTTGCTGCAGTGTAAATATAACTGAATTGAATTGAGGTGAATTAAATGTATAACTGCTAAAGACAGCTTTTCCCTTTGCGGTGTCTCCCATCAAAAATGCTGTATTTCACGTTTTCCATTTTGTTTGAAATAAACCGGAAAAACAGCTCTCACAGGTTGCAGCTTTTTAAAACATTGTTTCTTGTTATTGCAGCTCTTATTGTCTTCTTTCATCAAATCCTCCACATTAGAGAAAACACAGTAATTATCTGATACGTCGGCGTCAAGGGGAGATGAAACAGAAATATGTAACGTTTAAGAAATCATCCTGATCAAGCGTGTTTCCTTTGATGTGAGTTGAAAAGGGGAAACGTAATACCCCCGGAATCACAGTAAATGAGGTGACCCAGTTGCTACTTGACTACTGTAGCCTGTAAAAACACTGATCATAAGAGATTATAACCACACGTTATTATGGGGCATAACCATTTCCAGTGCATTTCCTAGTAAGGATGCAACCCTGGTGAGTAATACCTACTTACATTCATTACCTACGCTGGCCAGCAGTTTATAAAAGCCACTACATATTCATCATCATCTTTGGAGAGAGCGCGCGTATTGTGCAGAATCCATGTGTTTAATCAGACGGCCCTTTTCACAGACTCCGGTTCATTTTTGCGCCGCAAATGAGAGGGGATGAAGCATTACCCAAGGGAGCGCCACATGAATCGGGCTCCCCATTGAACAGTGTTAATGCTGATTAATGAAAGAGCATTGCAAATGGAAAACTGTACAGCAGTAACTGGCAATAATACACACCCCGAATTCTGAGAATCTCTGTGAACCCCGCTGCCGCCGCCGCACGAGGAATGTGGAGAGGCAGTGTGAGACACTTCAGCTAAGACAGAGCTATTACTTACTCAGTCTACACAGATGCCTTCTGCCATGGCAACACCTATTAGACTGTGAGCTGGCTGATGGACTGCTAAACAGGAGAGCTTTTGGTCAACACATTGCAGGCCAGATTTCTGAACTGCCTGTTCGCTTCTCCCTGGGGTTATCAAATTTCATCTTGTATTAAGTGGTAACAACACAGAGATCAAAGAGCGATCAAAACCAAAATTATTTCATCAACTGCTGCGATTTTGTGGCCTGCTTTCAATACCTATTTGTCAGCGAGTGCAGAGTTTCAAACTGGTGTCATGTAGGTGACACTACATATATAAAACCTTAAAACCCTTCTCGTCATTATTTTCTGTGACCTTTGTTCCAATTACAGCTTCCTTGTCTCTTCCTTGCAGCTTGCTCCGTCTCCATGGTGCGCTTGCACTCCAGAGTTTGGATTGCTCTCCGCTGGGCACCGAGGCCCACGTCCTCAT